CAGACGATAGTGGTGGTCCCAAGTTCGACCGTTCATTCACTTGCTATGCTCTAAAGAGGAAAATAAGAAAGAAAGCGTCATTGTAATGCTTACCAAAAAACATTACAGCTTTCTAGACCAACCTTAAATTTTAACAAAACCGAAGAAGCAATTGGTGGGTGTCCCTCGCTGGTAAGATGAGAGGGCAGTGATACACATCATTTTAAACTACTTGGAGCCCATCAGTTTTAGACTTTGGAGCCTTTTGTGGGTTGCTGTGTATAGCACCTAAAACAAACACACCGTATGAAGTTATCCAGACCAGTCAAATTATGTCACCGCCCTTTGAAAGGACGAAAAGCTAAGGCGCCCTTACCAATGCGACAGATTAGCTTGGCTGATAAAGGCGAAGAAAACTTTGGAGTAAAGAAAGAGGTCGACTGTGACGGCATTTTAATGACTAGCAGTAAATGTTAATCCCACCACATATCTCAAGGCGGCCTCCACAAGCTTGTTTCGCTCGAACTCAGATACATCGCCAAGTAGTGGAAGAAATTTCGCAAACCCACTTAAAACTTGAGTACAAGAAGGCTCACAGGCAATCAGCCAGCGATGCCGCTTCGGTAAGTAATTTGTACATCGGCAGCAAAGTTATGAAGATAAGCGTAAAACTGGAATTTATTAAGCTTTCTAGAGGATTACACCATCTCGTGGCGATTGGAGGGGCGGTTAATAATCATTTACACTTTGAAACTTACTCCCCTAGTATCACTCCATCTCGGCTACTAAAGTTGCATTCTATTAAAGTTCACAAATGTTAAGCCGAAGTATTTGTTGTTACCTGCCGATTTAAAGAGGACCAAAGCTTTTATAGGAATTTGGAGAGCATCAATGTGAAATCCAATATCAGTCCACATGATGTGTAGGTATGGACCACTTAGAAGGCCAGTGGCCTGGCACCGAATCCTGAGCTGTCATTGTACACTCTGCCCGGTGTCATTTATTCTTTTGCCTTCGGACGAGCCTCAGAGCACTGCATTGTTTCCACTAATGAGCAAACTTCATCTAATGGGCATCGGTACTGATTTACACTGCTGAGTGGTGATGTCAAGCATGGCGGAAGTTGTGCATATGCTGTGGACGGACTTCGGTGAAAATGCACAACCGAAGAGCCAAGCAGGACAACAGCCTTCGTCATCCACTCTGTAAGGATGATATTAACCAAAAAGGTACAGATGCTCGTGATTGTGGTTGTTTATAAGATTTCTTTACTGCGCCAGCACAAGGCTGTAAATAGTGCAAACTCGCGATGCTTGCTTGGCTTCTTCACAGGTCAAAGTGAAACCCAAATGGGTATGGGTAGATAGCACCTCGTCAATCACTTCCATTCCACCCCATTCTTTGTTGTGTAAAGGCATTTGCATCCGTGTCATTTTGACAAGCCATTGACATTTGTGCTGGTCTGTAAATTTATCTACTTTCAAATGCATTTCCACGATAGGGTGACCTGCAGACATGAGTGAGTTTATCAGAGGTGCCAGGAAGACTACAATCAAGAGTCTTTTCGACTAATTGGGCATTCGATGAATGGCACAGACGTTTTTTTGATGTTATTACAGCGTGATGAGTGCGGAAGGAGTTTAATCATGGAGAGACCCTCGGCATTAATAAAGGGCCACTTACGATACCAAGTAACGCCGGTAGACCCCAAGCCTCTCTGCATGTCTATAAAGCATATTCTGTTCAAATGTTGTGCCTATTTATGGCCTGAAGTAAGTCTTGCGACGCTACACAACCATTACGGTCAGATGAGAGTGGCAATGCGTTTGGGTCTTAAAAACTACAAACTAAATTGGTTGCCCATCTAACAGGCTACCGGTTATTGCTCTTTTGGCAAATGTTTCCCGTTTGCCTCTTCTAACTAAGCAAGCATTGCAAACTGCAAGCTAAGAGCATGGAATTTCTTAATTTTCATTTTAGTTTAAAATCTAAATCCGTGAAGAGGAATACGAGCATTGCTGGTTCGTCCAAAGGCGAGTTGGGCGCTTCCTCGGAGGTCGATGCTGGAGAGAAAGTAGAGAGGATTTTATGCGGGCTTAAGGTGGCCGAGCTGTTGAGCGCGCTCCAACCCATTAACTCATCCCTCAGCCCCCGTTTATGAAGATCGTAGAGTCTACGTCTAATCCGTTGTTAAATATAATCCTCCCTCCACACGATAAGCCTTAACCAAAACTCCCTAAAAATATAGCCTCCTAAATCAAAGACTCAAAACAGACTAATCGCTCGCCGGAATAATCTTCCACCAAACCTTTTGCGTCAGTTTAGTGACTTAATCATTGCAAAATTTTGCTGAAAATGCTTTCCACATAGTGGATTTGATCACCACTAAGTAAAATCACCTCATTCACTTGCAGAAGTATAAGAAAAGTACTCTGCTTGGGTATGGAAACCTAAAATAGTTGGTCTCGTCTGTTTCAATGCGTGTCATCAGAGGGCACATTTGGCATTTTGCATTCTGGCGCCTCAGCGGACAATACGGCCTTGCCTCGTGGGAATAAAGTTGGAAATACTAACCATGTAGTGGATTATAAGAATCCATTATGTGTCCAGACACTACAAAAAAAGGCAATAAGTGTTGTAATTTTGGCGATAAGCGGTCACTTTGACGCCTTCAAGGGAGTGCCGTGCCCGAAAACAGATTTTCTCTCCAAACTTAGTTGGTGCGGCATACGCAGGAATTTAGACTCGTGGCACTCATCCTCAAGTGCGATCATCACTTTATGCAGTGCTAAATCCCTTCTCCGTTCCGTAAGTAGGCTAATACCGACCTTTTTAGAGGTGAAAATATGTTTCATTAAGAGTTTTCATGTCTAATATAATTTTTGTTTGCTTTAAGCCGGATACACATGATGAGACTCACCAAGCGCAAAAACAAACAGGAAATATTAAAATATGGACAATTTTCATGTGTATGTTGACTTAAAAATTCTGATTTTAAATTTATTTTTAAGACTACTCTCAACTGCTATTGCATAATTGGCATGAGGAATGCTTCCGCCTCTAATGGGAGCACACGTTTGTATAAATTTGGTGTTTGATGACATCACAGTCATCACATTAGCGCCAACTGCCCGGTCAATGGAGTCGAAGCAAGGTGTGAATCGAGGCTCCAGAGCGGCTGCTAATTGATACGCCGTTAATGGCCTTTCCATTGGACAATGCACACCCGGACAAAGGAGTACCAAAGCATATCAAAAGCCCACACCATGGACACGTAACTAACGTTCTAGAAGTCCGCCTCTGAATGTACCCCAAATACGACCACACTATTTGCAAATTAACCGCCAATAGTTTTATGCCTTAATTACATAATACCGATTGAACAGTGGCGACCACCCACTGTGGGGTGCACGCAGAGTGTCCACACCTTTATTTCCCACAAGGGCCTTCAATACGCGCAACTGTCTTCCACTGGAATTGGCAATTATAGTTTGCACCAATAGCCTCCAGTTCATGCATTTACCAACACTGAGGTTCAGTCGTTTTTAAGACAGAGTGGCCAAAATGGTGCAGTCCTGGTGAGGTGATCAGTAGCTAAGTGTTTGTCCGAAATTATTGCGCCGCTATCCTATAATGCATCGTTTTTAGCACTTACTTTGCTCTCCTTGATAATATAAACAGCCTTGCTTTAAATGGATAAAAGCTATCCGAATGCTTTTCATGCAAATATTATTTTTATCAGTTTTTTTTTTAAATTTACCGAACTATGGCTCCTCCACGTTTCTCTCCAGAAACAGGAGTGCTCAGACGCCTCTGCTGCTGTTGGGTTGGTCACCTTTTCCTTGCAACCCAATTTGCAGCATATTTGATGCATCCAGACGAATAATTCACCACCCTGCCTGAACCTTAACATTAAAACAATAAATGTTTTGATGGTAACTGCACGTATTATAAGGAAAACATTCTTACTTCACTTTGCGTTACCACCCACAGGTGGAGGACAAGACGAAGTCCATCTAATGGAAGAATTGACATGAACTGCAGTCAGTAAGAGAGTGATTAGCACGGGAGTTTGGTGAGAGGCACAACGATTGTCAACACGGATTTCTGTCCCTTAGAAAAGTCAATAACTTTGATACAATCGACTGACATAAGAGAAAAGCAAAAGGTTTACAGCGAAGTCCATTTCACGCGAATTTTTATACGATCCCGAGTTTAGACAACTCCAAAATCTCTTTACTTTCTACTACCCCTTGAGAACGTTTTGAAGACTGCAATATTTCATTAAAAAAGGCCTATTTTAGCAGGTTCTGAAACATACTGAACTGCATGAACTGATGAAACTCAAGCAGGAATTGAACAGGTAATGCTCTTGGTTTTGGACTTAGTTTTGCTTAGTCTTCGTCGTAGTATCTTAGGTCTCCAGGCCATGCCAGTAAACCGATGGCCATAAAATATTTACTCGGCTCAGTAGAATCTCTTCCTATGCCTTCGACAAGGCTCAGGGCACCGCGATGATAACAGTGAAAGAAAAACCCCACCTAGCTGATACATCTGCCCTGCTTTCCCCTGCTGAACATGATCAAAGGAGATGGGCTACGTACTACACTGGCTGCTTGACTGCTGGCTTTGGTATTGGGGTTACTCAGTCTCTGCCATTGTGTTTTTGGCCCATGCCACTGGCCTGAAGCCCAATTTCGCGTCCGGCGGAAGCGTTCCGTTTGATCGTTACTTCTGCTTTCGGCTTCAGAGATGTATTAAGGTGTTATAGCATCCCGATCAAAAAATGGTTGCAAGCCGATGTCGCTAAGGAAACCGTTTGAAGTACAGGGCCTAAAAGTACTGGGTTTTAGCATGGAAATTATAGTTTAATTAAATAAATTACAAGCGTAGCTGTTTTGAGGCGATGTTAAAAAGAGTGGAACATTTCCCATTTGATTGTATCCACTTAGCTGGAATAAACAGGTTGTTTTTGGTATAAAGAAATGGTATATTCCACAGCTTTTCGAAGACAGTCTACATTACCTTCTGAATCTGAATCTGTTGTACCTACAAGTAAGGATCTTAACAAAAGCTTTGCGGTAATCCGGTGAAAATATTGTGTAAATTATGGGATTCAACAGGGAATTCAAGTAACCTAGCCATAGGAAGAATTTTCCTCCAGCCGCAGGAAGGGTGCAGATTTCGCCACAGAAAGGCTGCACAAGGGCATTCACGGAAAAGGGAATCCAGCAAAGTAGGAAGCAGCCCGTAATTATCGCGAGCGTACGGGCCGCTCGACGCTCACGTCGATGCTCCAATCTCTCCCGCCGCTCAACCATCGTTTCGATGGCCGCCGCAGAGAGATCTTTATTGAGGAGGCGCTTCTTCACCGACATTAAGACATAGCTGACACCCATGTCAAAAGCATACTTGCGTTTTGTTCCAGCGATGGGGTGATTTAACATAACACAGCCGTTTGCCTTCGGCGAAGGTGTTTGCAAGGGTGGGGGCGGAGGGGATGAGGATGAATATTCCATGTCGAAGGCACGGTGAGGCGTTTGAAGAGGTGTCTGGGGGATGAATGGTGACTGAATGGCGGGTACATCAGTTGGTCGCGGTGAGGAGGATGGAGAATAGCCACAATTGTAAATTACATCATCGACGTCACCATCACTGTCAACCCAAATCGTAGGATTGGAGAGGCGTGTGCCTTTGATGCAGTACTGAGACAAATCAGAATTGGTTGAAAAGACCTGTTGTTTAATGTTGAGCGTCATTCCGTTAACAAGCGGTTTCACTGGGCTTGGTGGCACTCCGCTGGCTGTGGCCACCTCTGTAAGGGTGATTGTGGAGTCACAGTTCTTCACCATTGTGGTTGTAGGAGAGGGACATTTTAGCCACTTGAACTTATTCCGGCGAATCCGCTTCCGAGCAGATGCGTAGATTTTGATGTAGATACAAAGAAGGAAGGCCATGGGCAGAAAGAAGGCGCCTACGGTTGAGAAGACTGTGTAAACCCTGTCGGTATTGATGACACAGCGCCCGTGGTTAAGAACTTGTGCAACAAGATTGCTGGATTCTGTTATGGTAAATCGACTCGGTAGAGATATGGATATAGCGGCAAACCACGCGGAAAATATCATTCCAAAGATTATTTTGCGATTATTTCTGTGTCCGTAGGTTGCATGAGTAACAGCCCAGTACCGGTCAACAGCGATGGCTACGAGGTGCAAAATGGAGGCTGTGCAGCAGAGAACATCCATGACGATCCAAAAGTCGCATATTGACAAGCCTAGTCAAAAGTCATTAATACAGCTCAAAGTAATTCAAACTACTAAAAGTCACTCAAACGCGCGTTTTTATTGTGGCGTTGACACGCCGATGTGGCGGAGCCCTTTTTCTAAGGAGAGGAAAGTGACGCACGTCTGGTGTGAATGCAAATGTACCAGGAAATAGGCAATGCTAAATTTGTATTTTACGCATAACTTTTAGGTGGGAGGCTGAGAGGCACTTAAGGGGGCTGAACCAAAACAGTTCAATCCAGATCTCACCTTATCGACACATACAACCAAGTCAGACATCTGTGCTACATTCAAGAGTTTCAAAACGTTTTCTTAGGCACTACATTTTTAACTTTGTGTTGAGATTATGGGTGTGGTTCAGAAAAAGTTAATAGCAAAACCCAAGCGGGTGCCAGAAAGCGAATGCCAATGTTTCATTTTTGATACGCCGCATAACCATAATCTCGGTGACATTTCTCATGCATCGAAATGAAAACTTGACACCGCACTTACAAGAACACTCAAAACGATGTGGACACTGCGGCATCGCATAGCCGGTTGGTCGGGTCCGACTCATGACGTTTAATTTGTGCTCCCATTTGATGACCGAAATGATAATTTTATGGAGGCTGCTTACAGTTATGAAGCTGCATACAAATATTAGAATTGTTTTAAGGTGAAATTTTGCTAATTTATTGCAGAAAATTGCTTGTACAACGACAAAACAATGGTCACTGAATCAGGTGTTACTTCATAAAGTTTGGCACCACAAAGTATCTCTTCCGTAATTATGCGTTTGTAATGTGTTGCATGTCACAAGGGGCTGCAGTGGGGCAGGGCGGTATTGTTTTTAACGAGGTATCGGACGTCAATCTTGAAGAGAAATGAACATTCCAACGCTGGGTGAAAGGTCGGTGACACACCAAAGTGAATCCCTTCAAACAAAAACGTTGACAATTTGCGAACTGCGGTTTCCTGCAACTTTTAAATCGTACGCTTTCATTCATTTAGTTTTTGCTTTTAATACACGCTCATAAAGCAGGGGAGAAAATAATATCTCCGGCTACATTTATTGCCAATATTCATGCAGTGAACTTCATAAAATTCTGCGATATGTCGACAAGGCAGACTGATTTGCATTGGGTGGCTGAGTTGCAAACGTTTCAACCGATCTTGCTTGTCCATACCCGAACCTAGTAGACGCAGCTGACCAGCCACCTGTGACCATTTAAGTGTGCCAATTTGTGAAGGGAATTTTGGGCACTACCTTTCCAGTAGCACTGCGGAGAGCATCTTATCGCTGGGATATTCAAAATACTTTTGTACTTTTCATCCTTTCATTGGCTTGTCTCAAACGAACACACGCCTTGAGACTTTCAGTTGCCGTGTTTCTTGGGTAAACATGGTTGGCTTTTGAGACTAATGAGGTGAAACCTCGAGCACAGAACAGAGGGTTACAGCCTTGCACAATTTTGCTTGCACCTTTCACTTCATCCCAGTTGTACAATCGTGTACACAAGCATGCTCATGAAGTCTTGGAAAGTGATTTTAATAGAAAGGTTAATGAAATAAATGCAAATAGCTGTCTCTGAGTTAGCTTTTACGTTGGTCATCAAATCAAATGCCATCCAAGCGCGTCTGCCGCTTGTGTGGCTGTCAGTTGAGGCTTCCGAGTGTGTTTTATTAATGGTTGCACCTCATGGCTAAAGCCTTGTAAATTTAAGGTTGTAACGACATTAAAGATGATGGTAGGACTATGTGACTTGCAACAAACATAAAACCACAATTTCTGAATGACATGTGCCGCATCCAATGCTGTAGTTACTCAAGGCGGCAGGGAATGGCACGTACTCTGTCACTGCTGAGAAGTAAACACTTGCTGACATTATTAGTTGGCAATAAACGAACCAAAATATGGAGCAAAATCAAGCAATCTAATGATTTGAATGGCGGGTTGTTGAACCTTTATGGGGTCCGATATGAAGTAGTCGAGCTGCAACACGTAAGGAAAGCAACACTAATAATGTTGAAATTCCTTATGGGTCGAAACGTATGACTAATAAAACTTGCTGTGGAGGCACAACCTACAGCCATAAAATTTCCACCCATTTAGATTTTTGTTGATGATTTAAGTCACGGAATCCTCGGATTCAACTGAACGAGATCAACTTAATGAAAAAGTTGGAGGAAAAAGAGAGAAAGCACCATTTTTAAGTTCATGCTTTGCACGTGACTTTAATTTTTCTCAAAGCTGGCGGGTTATGATCATAGTACAAATTACACTGCCTCAAATCGAGGGCGTTGGCAAGCGCCTCGAGAAAACGAAAAACAGCATTATGAAGTTATTCGACAAAACTGCAACGCGTTGGGAACAACTCTTACAGCACTGCCGATTTTTGAATGAAGGTTAAGCACCGAACAAACGATTAAATGGACGCGAGTGTCGCCTGCTCATCTCGCTAACAGACGTTGTAGTTGCGGTCGCATCTCTGCGCAGTGATAGCAAAGAATTTTGGTGTACAAGATGTTGTCACCATCTCAATATCGGTGAAGAGGTCTATCAAAAGTCCATAACTGATGCAAGCATATCAATTGAATAGGACAGTTGGCTGTGGATTGGCATTTGCATGTGGCCAAGTGTGCGTGGCTATGTTATAAAGGCGGTACGACTTATTGCCCTTCATAAAAGTCCAACGGGGCAGTGAAGGGGACTGGCTGAGAGAAGCATTAGTAGCCCCATTTCTTCATTCTTGTTCTGCATAAATCTCCGACCACCACAGGCGATCTTACTTGTTGCCCATCAATGCGTCTTGTACATCGGCAAGTGATGTTAAAGCCCTTAAGACGGAACTCATCTTGGGTGTTCCACGAACACACACATGCCGTTTGAATCTCCCGTAGTGTTAGATCAACATCTCAGTTTTCAATGAACGTGTTAGTATTGTGAGTTTTGGAAGTGAAAAAGAAACGGTTTGGCAATAAATATAAACTGCAGTCACAAAAATCGCTCCCTGACTGCTAGGTTTAATGGTGCACCGCTTTGAGGCTCTAATAACACCCGTAGGTGTCATGCTGAAGACTCTTGTCGCCTGCCCTACGCTAAAGTACAAAACGCCGCGGCAATAGCAAAAGAAACACCTCTAAGCTTCGAAAAAACGTTAAATTGAGAAGAGAAAATGTAAAGGATGCAACTGGTTGGCTGTAAGATCGAGACGATGGTTCGCTTTTGGCCAGAACTCAAAATGTGGTAGCCAACATTACAAAGTAATTGCTGCCTTATTTGTAAAGTAAAGGTCTCAGAAAGAGGAAACCAAGTTTGGTAGCTTCGCTTTCAAGCCCATATTCCTCCTCCAGGACCACTAAGACATCTCCATTCCTCAAGTTTTCGCTTCTCAGAAGGTTCGTTTTAACTGCCCCGACTTAAGAGGTGCAGCTCACCTTCATTTATTTGTGTCTTCTATGCGCATTCTATTAATCAAACCTAATAAAAATGGGCGAAATTCCTTTGGACCTAAGGCAAGAATGTAAGGAAATTTAGCAGTGAAATGATAGTAGAATTGTCGGTAACTGCCACTGTCCACAAGCGGTGTGTGTAGACCTTATGGCAGGGGGTTTATGTCTGCAATAAATAGAAGATTTGTTCCTTTCGAACCTGAATTAATTTATGTGCATATCATAAGCTCTTGGTCTTATAGACTGGGGGAATAAAGTGCCCATATTTGCATTTTTATCCGATTATCTCCCCATCGTGGAGCAATTAATGCGGGGTGCGATGTGCTCATGGCGTTGCAGACACCACAACAATTTTAGAATGGAAATCTAAAATTTTCTCGAAATAGATGTACTTTTGTATTAAACCAGTGGAGCCCTTGAAAAACTGGAAGCGTGCCCGCCATGTGAATTCAAATGTGGAGAGCAGCCATTGGTGTGATCCTTGGCTATCACTGACTCTCTTTCCACTTTAATCCACGTACAAGCGGTGCCATACTTCATACCACATAAAAAGAACAGCTGTAAACTACAATATCATCCCAAACAAATCACTTGGCGCTACCTGGGAACCATCGGATTCGCGATCGTCTACAGTGGAGTATTCCAAACACACTCATACAGTTGTAACCCTTTACATCAGGTATTCAAACTACGGCTCATTTAGATTTGTTTGTTATAGGCACTGTAAGTAATCAACCACTTTTTCACTGAAAATGACTACCCTTTCTACCTCCGAACGTAGATCTCCAGCATGCTGAGCGTTTGACAAACTTCAGGTTTAGCTGAAACATCACGTGTTGCAACTGATTTCTTGTTTTGCAGAACATAAAAGAAGTGTACGAGTAAAAAAGGTGTCGTGGGACTTTAGTTCATTTGATTTATGACTGCTGTGGCGTAAATCTCCCCGTGGAGGGATTTCCACCTGGATACATCCAACTTCTGCACAAAGCACAACTCCTTGTTAGAAGTTCAACAGAGACTATTTGCTATCACACGTTGCTGCGCAAGCAGTGTTATGTCAACAATGCAAATGTGGTGTAAAAGTGCTCAAACACTTGCAGTGGGATAAACAATTTGGTTGTCTTCTAATACATTGAAGGAGCACGGTGATTCATGTTGTCACCATTTCACTGCGCATGAATGTTTCAGAGAAAATAATTACCAGAATATGCAAGCTTCACTTTCTCCTCATAAGACAATCGGTTGCGGAGCATGTCAAGGCAGTTCATGGGATGCAATTGCTCATACAATGATGACTTTGGGAAGTGCCAAAGCGAACCGCTCGAGCTTAAGACTGAACGCGGTAATCTAGAGGGCGGACACCAAACTACGCGAGGAATTATCAGCCATTGCAATCTTCCAATTAATTAGTTTGAAGTCATATGGGTTAAGATTGAGCCCGTAATTGTCTTCTTTTTTGCGACACTAGAGGAAGTGAACGTACCTAAGAACCACCTTGTTGACACAGCGTCCAGTGCACTGATTGGCATGACCAAAACAGCGACCATCAAGTCGGCCACAGCGAGGCTTGCGATAAGGTAATTGGAGAACCGCTAAAACAGTGAAGATGCGCACAGAGCTGAGTGATTTATACAAATCCAATGTTGTGAAGGTTCTTCCCAATTTCCATCCACCAGCATCACAAAACTGCTTCAATACGTGCAGTATTAAGCATTAGTGCATCATAACTGAGGCGACTGAAGAGGCCTTCATTCGCTTCGAATCTCATAGGACCATTAAGTAGTCACTACTTTAGCGATAAAAAACTATTTTCATAGCCTGAAACCTTATGTACTTTATCATGATAGTTTATAAAGGCCTTCGTCACATTAAGATGTTGTTTGTGCAAGGACAGTATTTTTCTTTACAACCAATCACCTCGGTGGATAAACATCTACACACATTTTAATAAAAAAGTGGAGTAGGCGGAGGAGGAAGACGATGAAGACGACGACAAGTCGTTTTCATTAATGACTCCAGTGCCATTATCAGTTTTGTTTGTGAGGTTAACATTGCAAGGATAGAAGTTGCGGACTACACGTGCATTTAATTCGGAAGTGAAAGCAACTGGCCCTAGTGAATGGTGTCGCTGTCTTGATACCACCTTTCAACGATTCAACGCTATAACAGAAACTGCTCAAGTCATGCTGATCCATTGTGCTTAATGCCTTATTTTAGGTGGACCATGGTCGCAAAAAGGCAATGGGAGTGCATTTTTAATGGAATATGGAGTTTCCCATTACCTATGTTCACTGACTTGACATTTTGTTTGACCCGTTTGTTCAGCTGCGGGAGCACCCCAGAGCCGTCCGCTCTGTGCCATGGACTTATTGCTACGCAAACGGTCTTCCGCATCGTCATTCCCTTCTCAGAAGAAATTCGAATCCCTCACCTTGAAAATGGATGCTGCCCACTTCAAATCCTCAAATGCCGCCTATTGTTATGGGAAGTCTGCGTAACTTTCAAGTGATCACGAATGCACCACTTAAACACTAAGTCACTAGGTGTAGTGGGTACAAATGAATAAATCAGATGAACTGTACGTTTCCTATTGGTATTTGTATAGAAATTTTTGTGGTTTACATCAATAACAAAGCGAAAAATGCCATTTTGTAGTGCTGGCAGGTACTCACAAATAGCCGGCTTTTATCACACTAAAGAAGCAGTTTCTAGCGCTTCGAGGAGAAATAAAATTCAGCATCAATCTTATGAAACGGAAATGTTTAACTTCAGAGTCAGTATGACAGATAGACTAAAAACGAATGGCATGTGATCGCTTACAGCGTCTGGTTCTGGGTGTGCACATCACACGACAAAATCCCAAGTCATACTTTTCGACTTAATTTGGTGTCGTTGTCGGACTTCAATGGCTGCAAGGGAGCATCGACCTCATACCCAGTCCCAGTCTTGCATGTTAATTGCACTAAGACATACTCCAGTTTTCAACTAATATTCTTACAGCCTGGACGTGTGGTAGCATGACAGACCATCCACATGCTGTTTGTACTAACTTATCATTTCAAGAAACACAGGCCTGTGCGTCGTAACACTCAGGCAGAAGGTCCACATTTCATGAAAGCAACATGGTGAGGTGAGTCAAACACGAATTATGAAATTCAAATGAGGAGGCTTCCTGCTCTGTTGTCACTTGTACACACTTACATCAAGCATAAAGTTCCATGGTCTAAAGACGTATTTCAGCCCCCTTAAAATTACCATGAAATGTTTTGTTCTTCAATAAATTCAACAATTCATAACTATTTTTGGCAAGACAAGCTAACCGGCGAACTGTACTCTTTATGCTGCGATTTTGCATTTGCTTTACGCAGCGTTTTTCCATGAAGGGAAATGTTAGATACCAGAGGAAATGTCGACCAGCAGTCTTGCCATCATACAATTCTCCCCTCTGCTTTTCGTCATTATCTTGACGTTAACCTTGTTTACAATAGGCAATGCGAAATCCCTGATGCAACGCGGAACCAAAGGAGTTGCCATTATTGAACGACTTAAGCGGTGACGTACTTTGGGGACGACCGAAAACTTAACACTCGGACCCACTTTTTCCCGTTAGGACGCCCTTAATCTTTGCAACCGAAATGTCCAATTTAATAACTGCGAAACAAAACGGATGTTTGCTGTGAGCCTAGTAAATGCACAGGCGATTAAATGACTCGTAGCTACCTTAATGAAACCAGGAGGCAATGCGGCCCTAAAATGCGCGGCAACATGGGTGGGTACGGTAGTACGATTCTCAGAACTCGGTCTACCCAGCAATATGCTTACACCCACCTGATGTTTTGATTGGTT